TTGTAACTTTCATAAATATAAGAATCGATATCTTAGATTTGTAGACACAGAGTAATGCCAGCGAAACGAAAATTTAGCCAATATTTAGTTTGCTTGTAATTTGATTAAATGCATTCTATTTATGGATTATTGTAATTTAGCTAAAATTTTCGTTGACAGATCGTAAATATCTGTGTCGATTGATTTAACTGAAAATAAACATAATTATCAATTTTTTTAAGCTTCACCGGGCTTTTTTACAATGAAATTCTTAAATAATTCTTAAATAATTTCTAATAAATATTATTTTTAATTCTCTTCGAGTTTCTTCATCAAAATCGGCAAAGTTCGCTCTTCATCCCTCGTTTTTCTATGCTGAAGATAGTGAGACACATTTTCGTATACCACAAATGTGATCACGGTCGCTGGAGTCACCCTGGTCAGGTTCGCAGACAGACCCTTGTAAAATCCATTCCCACCTTCAAACCTGCAATTAACCACCAGCAATACTGTTTTGTTAATTGCTTCCTTTTTCCTTTTCATTAATTGCGTGGAAATTTCTGAACTAAATAGCACGTTCTCATTCGCACTATGAACCGGCGTACGATTCTTGTCGTGATTTATCGATCAAAGCATTTTCCATTTTCTTTTAAATGCAATCGTACGTCATGAAAATTCTAAATCGTATATGTATAATTTCGATATCGTTACTTTTTTTCCATTTCATTTTCATTCAATTGTTTATTTCTATTCAACGATCATTAATTATCATATATTTTTATATGATAAATGTGAATTATCTTGATAAAAAAAATCACGTCCAATTAAACACGTGCGATTAAAAAAATGGATAAAGGTATTTCTTAAAATCAAGACAATTCCAATTCTACATGGTTTATTTCTTATTCAGATAATTTCACCTCGATGATATGTTGTAGGTGTACATACAACTTCATAAATTATATATGTAATACGTCCAAAAATCGTACCGCTGGTGGTTTAATAAAAGATCCGTCTAATCGCAATTACATTCCACGATGATTCACATCCATTCAACACACATCTAAACACACAAGTAAACACAATGCTCTCTTACATATTGTACGTGCGTTATTAATAACTGTGGTCCCGCCACAGTAAAGGGGAACAAAGAAGAGGCGATCAGCTGATCGTACGAGACAATCATCCGATTCGAAGAAAAATATTTAAATAATTGATAGAAAACCAGTGTACATCTCACATATGAGATTCCTAAATTGTTAATCGATAAATATTTTTCTTCCATTAAGCTCCATAAACTTTACGCACAACCATCAAGCTTTGCGCTTACTATTGCGGGAAAGAAAGAGCGTCTAAATAATCCAGTAGCTAATTTATACTGTAAAACAATTAAGTTTCCATTAATGTTTATTAAGTCACTTATAGTTTTTAAGTAATGAGTCCCATTGTGGAAACATATGTATAAATAAATTGTATCTATTGTTTGAAAATTGCAATGACATTGAATTTTATTGCTATATTCTTAATTATACCGAGTACCAGACTCTACGGCGAACTTTGCAACATTCATCTATTGATTTCTCAAAATGAGGTACTTATTCATTGCATACAGAAATATAACATAGGTAACATAGATAAATTGTAAATAATTATTACATTCCTACGCACATCTTCATTTCGATTTATTTTTATTAGGGACTTGCAGCATTATTACGACTTGTAAATCACGCAAAATCCATTTTGTCTATTTCGCATAAAAAGAAATAAATTGCAACTTATTGCGCGAATAGCAGTTGCAATTTTGTATTTGTGTGTAATGTTTTGTATCTTTCGCCAGTTACAGTTATACAATACACTACAAATGTTTTAAAATAAAACCATTCTTAATTCAATTACAAATAATATTAATTTATGATAAGTAAGATTATTAAAGTGTAATTTCATGTTTAAAAAAAAAATATTAATACATGATAGATATATACTTGAGTGCCAGCCCAAAGATACATTGTTATAAAAAAAAAAAAAAAAAAAAAAAAAAAAAAAAAAAAAAAAAAAAAAAAAAAAAA